CTGTGGAGATCAGAAGACCCGAGACGTTAGTGACCACACACACGACCAAAAGGTGGAGCTGTATGTTTGTGTGTGTGTGTGTGTGAATTAACATCAGCTTGATTGCTAGGAGTGTGTCCTCCTCACACTCACTGATGAACAACTTCACAAAGATCATCCGTCTCTAAATGATGATCATGATCTGATAAATCTTCAATATCTCCTGCACTCCTCCATTTCTGACTGATCTTTTACACGCTTTCATCCAGTAAAAGTCTTTCAGTGTAATCAAACACTCGTATCATCTTGCTAAGATATATTATTGGCAAATATTGAGATTTATATGCATTTTATGTTAGTAGTCTGTTCCCCTTCGTCCCCAAAGTGTCATCGTTGATGACGCTTTGGGGAACGCCCCCAGCGTAGCGCGTCTGAAGCATGAAATCTGTCCAATCCTGATTGGTGCTGCGTCATGGCATAGTAGATGACAGCATAAACAGAAGCTATAAAGGGACGCCCAGAGCACACACACATCAGCTTTTTGCTCTTCAGCAAGCGCTCTGTGTCAAACCGTATGTCCTATTTGGTGTTGTTTGTCCCATTGAATTGTCCTAAATACACCCTTACAGTGGTGGTTGAGAGCCAAGGGTTTCTCCCCGAGGGGAAATCCATTCCTTATGATCATGGTAACGCGCAGATGCCTTCGTTCCCTCGTCATATGGAGGAAACCTTGGTTCCTGTCCCAGGGACTGGTGCTGGGAGCATCATGTTGCCGGAAAACCGTTTCAACAGATGCCTCCCTCACTGGTTGGGGTGCGGTCATGGACGGCCGCTTTGCGAGAGGTCTGCGGGAGACCCGGCATTCTTCTTGGCACATCAACTGCCTGGAAATGCTGGTGGTCCATAAAGCTCTGAGGAGTTTTTTCTCTGACCTCCGCGGCGACCATGTCCTGATACGCTTGGACAATATGTCCGTAGTCACGTATCTGAATCACCAGGGGGGTCTGAGGTCGCGCCCTCTATGCAGACTGGCACACCAGATCCTTCTGTGGTCCCAGCGGAAATTGTCGTCTCTCAGAGCGATATATGTCCCCGGGGATCAAAATCAGGGAGCAGATGTCCTCTCGAGGCAGGGGCTGAGGCCCGGGGAGTGGCGACTCCACCCTGAAGCGGTGGAGGCCATGTGCGTGAGATTCTGCCCAGTGGAAGTGGATCTGTTCGCGTCTCAAGAGACATCCCACTGTGGTTCTCCCTCAGGTATCCAGCTCCGTTTGGGCTGGACGTATGACACAGACATGGCCGAGGCCGCATCTGTACGCATTTTCCACGATCGCTCTTCTACCGGGAGTCTTGGAGCGGGTCCGCCGGGAAGGGATCAGCCTACTTTTAGTAGCACCCTGCTGGCTGACCCGGATATGGTTCTCGGACATTAGCACTGCTAGACGGCCTCCCGTGGCAGGTCCCTCTGAGGAGTGCACAATATTTTACCCCTGACCAGAGCTATGGAACCTCTGGGTCTGGCCAGGTGTTCAGTACTTAGAGGCTGACCTGTCAGCAGGTGTTGTCGAGACCCTTCTCAGCTCCAGGGCTCCTTCCACCAGGAGACTGTACATGCAGCCTTAAGTGGAATGTGTTTTCGACTTGGTGTAGAGAGCGTGAGGTGGACCCAGTTAACTGCCCAGTGGCTTCAGTGCTGGAGTTCCTCCAAAATCATTTCTAAGCCGGTCTTACCCTATCCACACTTAAGGTGTATGTAGCTGCCATTGCAGCTTTCCACTCACCTGTAGGTTCTGGGCCTTTGGGAAGGCACCATTTGGTTGTACGTTTTCTCCGTGGGGCTCGGTGGACGAGGCCTGTGGCTCATTCCAGAGTCCCGACCTGGGACCTAGCAGTGGTTCTTGAAGGGTTGGCTGAGGCCCCCTTTGAGCCACTGGAGTAGGCGGAGACAAAGAACCTGACCTTCAAGTTGGCCTTTCTCCTTGCTATCACTTCTCTGAGGAGAGTGGGGGATCTCCAGGCCTTGGCTATATCGCCAACTTGCCTCGGGTTTGCTCCTGGCGGAATTAAGGCCATCTTACAACCTAGACCGGGTTATGTACCCAAGGTGCCGTCTAGTGCGGCACGGTCATTGGCTCTTCAGGCCTTCCATCCTCCACCTCATGGGACGACGGAAGAGGGGAGACTTCACCTGCACTGCCCAGTCAGAACTCTAAGGGTTTACTTGAAGAAGTCTTCCCAGTGAAGGAAGTCAGACCAATTGTTGGTGTGCATTGGTTCACCCAAGAAAGGGCTGCCTGGTGCCAGAGTGCTCGCGTCCTAAGTGTGCCTGGTCTCCCAGCTTCACACTGGGGCAGGCGTGATTATGGTGTAGTGGCATAGTGGGTATTTCGTTCCCCAAAGTGTCATCAACGATGACGCAGTGCGAGTTCCCTCGAAGGGGAACGTCTCAGGTTACGACTGTAAACCTTGATCCCCGAGAAGGGAACGAGACACTGCGTCTCGTCACCACAGACTGACTTGTCCCATTGTAGCTTCCGTTTATGTCATCATTTACTATGCCATGACGCAGCACCAATCAGGATTGGACAGATTTCATTCATTCCTCAGACGCGCTACGCTGGGGGCGTTCCCCATAGTGTCATCAACGATGACGCAGTGTCTCGTTCCCTTCTCGGGGAACAAGATTTACAGTTGTAATCAGAGACGTTATAAAGATCTCACTGATTTACATTAAAAACATCTTACTTTTCATTCATCAGCTCATTTATTACATAATAATTGCTCAGTTTTGACCTCTGAAATATGATACTGAATATGAAAAGGAGGGACTTTAAAAAAAAAAAAGTTTTTTCTAACGTTTCAGTCAGGTTACCTGACATTAACACCAAAACAAACCTTAAAAAAACTTTTTTTGTTGCTGTTGTTGTTGATAGAAATAAAATGAATAACTGAAATAAAATTAAATAAAATTATCATTTTTATTTTAACTTGGTGGACTAAAATAACCAAAACTAGAACTGAAATAATTGATAAAAATAATGAGGAAAAAAAGACAAACATATAGCAAATTTACTAAAACTTACAAACAGAAAATGAAGAGAGCTTGTATATTTAAGTTCAGTGATTTCACTTAAATGGCAATGATAATTACCTATTAATTGTTGTTTAAGTGAAATTACTGAACTTAAATATACAAGTTTGATAAAAATCATCATCAAAGAAGAAAATTTTAAATGGCATTTAGAGGCTTTTGCATCTGAACTCTTCAAATATACAACAGACAAAAACTAATTTAAAATATGAATAAAAAATATATAATATATCTCAATGATATTGGGTTCAGTAATCTGGGATTATTTCATTACCGTGTTTCACATCATCCTCTAGATGGCATGAGATGACAAAATTATGACAGACACCAGAGCGTTTCTATAATCCTGTCTGATATTAATGAATCATGAACCATAAAGATGATGGACACATAAAAGCATAATCAAGGATTTGATATTTGTCAGAGAGAACCAAAGCAGTGGGTTAATGCAGACAGAGATGTTTGTGATTGTCATAATCAAATAATACAATCATTTTCATCCCAGAACATTTACAAGGGGGGTTATTATAACTATATACTAATAAATATATAATTCTATTATTATTTATTCACCATCATGTCTTTTTAAAACATGTGTGACTTCTGAGAAACACAAAAAGGAGAAGTTTAGCAGAATGTCCAAGCTGCTCTTTTTCTTAGCAAAGCAAATGATAAACAAATACAGTAAATTGCAGTCTATAGAGTTATTGTTAAAGTTAATAACTATATATAGTATATAGTTATAGTATTAATCGAAAAATATGAAATCATTAAAAAATATAGTTGTTGCTTTAACCAGAAACAACAACATTTCTGTAGTGTAGTTTCCAAAATTCCTCATTTTCATTTAGATTAACGATGTACTAAAACAGAAATAGCAAAAAGATAATGAAACTACACATACATTTTTTTTTATAAAATAAAATACATTTGATAAAATAAAATAAAAATTTAACTGAAAATATATATTTTTAATTAATTCAAAAATATTATTAAAAACTATGCCAACACCATTTTAAGGTGTTACAGTGTATTATTTATGGATTTAAATACTGAGTAATAATAATTAACTATAGAGTTAGTTACATGCATGCACAATTTATAGTAAAATAAATACAACCAAAACTCTAATAGTATCTCAAAATGACACAGATTGCTGATGCAAAGCTATCATATGGATTTAGACATTCAGTCTTAGTATATAAATATAAAAATGTATATAGACAGTTATAATGCATAATTCATACTTTTGATGATGCGTTGTTGCCTTTTGTGTGCGTCAGTTCTTACAATCTGCAAAATCTCTTTCGGAAGAAAAAGCTGTGCATGTTTGTAACAATAAATGATTAAAATGTTAATTTTGGATAGCACTGTAATTCTGATGTGATGCAAACACGGCCCGTGTCGTTGCGTAACAGGTCATCAACCCAATCCGAGGAACAGAACGACTGACCGCTCTGTTGTCGCTCACTGGACTGGGAACGCTGGGAATATTCCCGAACAGAAAGCATCTAGGAGAGACACACGCAGCCTTGAAACAAAAAGCAGATTACCATGCAAAGCACGCAGCGTTCCCTTCCCTCCGATTCCCTACGCCTCTCCCTTGCTCTACATCTCTCAGGCCACACTCCATTAAAAGCAGGTTTTCTAACGGTCAGGCTATTCATGATACATTCAGCTGATCTCAGAAACACAGCATTGCCCCTGATTTGTGTGTTTGAGGGGTGTTTAGATGTGCTGGGGCTAGAAGGCTTTCTCTGCCTTGACTCTAAATATAGATCAGGACGTTCTTCTCCTCTTCTGAACGACATGCGCACTGAGGGAAGGAGGGAGCGAGAGACTGAAGAAGAGAAAGAGATGCTTCACTGTACAATCCAGCCCTGATTTCCTGACACTCATTTAAAGGTCCAGTTCAACCCAAACATAAGTT